GGTAAATTTTCTGCCTGCCTGGTACGATACAAAAAATCAAAAAATTCGTGAAGAAAAATCAAGGGACCTTATGTATTTAGTCCAGAAAAAGTATAATTGCGCACCTGTTAAACACCAACAGTTTTTCCATATATGATTTATTCAAAGTGTAATTAAAAAAGTATTTGCTAAAAATAGCACAATCGACAAAGGGACAACCATTCGTTTTAGTACTTTGAATTCCTAAAAAGCGACTCATTTCCAATTAAAGAGTTTCAGAACAGGTAAAAAATGAAATTCAAGTAGAGAAGTCGACGTCAAGCAATTTTTTGCAGATGTTGGTTTATTCGTAAATAGCCGCGTTTCCATGCTATAGTGTGTTGTTTTCATTATTTTGTATGAAAATTTACATTCAAAATGCGGTGTGTATGGAATTCAACTCGCTATGATACGTCACAATGATAAGTTCGTTTTATTTGATTTAGTTTTACAGGCTTGTCAAACAGATGTAAATCTTAGATTTGATGGTATTCGTTGAACTTGACATAACACATGTTGCAGAAAACTTAGGACTTAGGAGCCTCCCCCTTTTATGCACAAAATCCCTGAATAGTACGTTTTATCATATCTGAAATATTTTCATATTATTTTAAAAAGTGACTCTTTTATTGCAAATTTAAACCATCAGGCGCTGTATTTGATTCATACGATGCTGAACTACACATTTATCTAATTTTACAATATTTTTACATAATATTCTGATTATGAATTCGCATTCTACCCTGTTGACGCACCCGGTCTCGCTCCTTTTTGGAGTTCTTGCGATTCTCTCAGTTTCTGTTAGTTACCTGAATTTGTCTCTTCTAAATCGATTTACGAGATTTCAACATCGGTAAACTACTGTCGCTTTTATTTGACAATTGTGTACATGTTATATTGAACTCGTTTGCCTTGAAATTTTAATTTGGTTTTTGGTACAACGTTAATCAAATTGTATGATTGTTGGCAAAAAAAAGTGTATGCCATACCCCAAAAAAGGCAGTACCAATATTGAGAAAATATGTTCACCTGTAAGACATTCATATTTTGTTGTTAACCCTAATTTTTGAAAGAGGTAAAATCCAGAAATTAATTCTTTAACTATCAAAGTAAAAAAACAGACTGAATGTTGTTTTTCTTTCTCTTAGCAAAAATGGCAATTTTTAACGTCCCATTTCGCCCATCTCACTGATTCCAATATGATTTACGCGTCAAAATAGTTTTATCAAGAAAACGTGAACTTTTTATGTTGTAATGTTACACTACTGTTTCAGGTTAGGGTGAAGGTTGGCGCCTGTTAAAGCGTTTAAACCCGCTGCATTTTTATGCACCTGTCCTAAGTCAGGAGCCTGTTGTTCAGTGGTTGTCGTTTGTTGGTGTAGTTCATAAGTGTTTCTCGTTTCTCGTTTTTTATATAGATTAGACCGTTGGTTTTCCTGTTTGAATTGTTTTACACTAGTCATTTTGGGACCCTTTATAGCTTGCTGTTCGGTGTTGAAGACCGTACTTTGACCTATAATTGTTTACTTTTTACACATTGCGCCAAAGAGAAATGTCCACCGTCGCTGTATATTTGTCGAATAGTGTTTCAATATATGAGTATGCTTTTATAGACACTGAGAATAGTAAAAAGTCAAAGAACGCAAGCAATATATGACAAATCAAAATAACAGTCTTGTCAAGTTAACTACACATGGTCACACACAATCCTACTGAATATAAAAGCTTTCGAGAGGAGTACGTCCACAAGGTGTCACTGTGTTACAATGGTTCAAAAATGGTTACAGTCTCATTACGCCTATACAAAAATTGTCAATTCAAAATAAAGTTAAAGTATGGCTAACTACACATAAAGCCATCCAAGGCCACCTGGCATGTGAGTTTTCATTGAAACAGTAGTCGTGTTCACAATATGTCATTGGGGTATGAAAGTCCAAAAAATTGTCAAGTCCAATAACTCCCGAAAGGAATAATAAAATCCAAATGATGGTATAATTATTTTGGTGAGGTACATAAAATGACACTCCTCCCAAGTGTGAAAGCTTTCTGTCAAAAAATTGTCAAGTCCAATAACTCCTGAAAGGAATAATAAAATCCAAATGATGGTATAATTATTTTGGTGAGGTACATAAAATGACACTCCTCCCAAGTGTGAAAGCTTTCTGTCAAACGATCTCAGAAGAGTTCCGTTTATAACGTGTCATTATAGTAGGATAGTTAATAATGGTCAAAGTCCCATAACTTCGTAAAAGTGGTCAAATCAAAATCACGGTATAGTGTGATCAAGAGAATATGATGGATATAAATCTTACTTAGTATTGAAAATCGTGAATGAGCTTCTCCAATATCAATCTCTTAATTGTTTAAAACATGTGTTCAAATATTAAAGATAAAATTGTGATTGATTGATTTATGTCTGCTTTATATCCAGCGTCTGATTTAACATTCAGGACGTTAAAATAATAACTAGACAGACAAAAGGAGTAGGAAAAAGTAAAATAAAGTGCTAGGGCAAATGTAAAATTCCGCAATTAGTGTCGACAAGTTTATGTTTAAACTTCAAAAAGCCGTGAAACAATTCAAACGAAATAAACCATTTATAACAAAACAATAAAAGAAAAACAATTTTGACAGACAGCAACCAACAATACTAATACATTACATCCTCATGACTTAAGACAGAATTAAATAATTTAGGTTTTAAAATGTCATCAGAGCTAATGTAATATGTATATAAATTTACCGACTTTAAATATATTTTAATTTACTTGATTCCTTTAAATTTGATTTAATTGCTTCTCTGGTGATGGATTGTTGTATTTTTGCATTCTTTTTCATTAGTCAACTAAACGTCGATATTATGATTCGTCATGTTGGTAAATTAGACAGACTAAAACTAAAGCTGAAAGAGTAAAAACACAAATTATCTATATTTGTTTGTAAAATCGTAGGTTTTCTGTATAAACCATGTGCTTCATTCGTACTAAGATAAAAGCATCGAATATCCGTATCCGTTGTCTTTCTCTTTCCGTGTATGATGAAAAAGGTCGACACTGACGATAAAATTTCATCTTTTTCGTCAATATCTTTGTTCAGTATCATATTAGAACTCTTAAGTCTTATTTCTATATTTATATGTATGTGTACCTTACATGAAACCCGCTCTTTAAAACTAACAGTAATATAATTCTGTCATAGTAACTGGTATTACTTGAATTCCAGTAAGTATAATACGGGGACAAATGTATATAATTGTTTTTGCCACGTTATAAGTAGATGCTTACATAATCCTATCTTTTAAAATTTTATACACATCATTGGTTCGAACTTAAGTGAATTCTTTTATTTAAGTATGAAAGTACTAAATGCATTTTTGTTTATTGAGAGTTGTAAATACTCATTCCAGTGTAATTTTACATAAATAAGAGATACAATAATTATTATTTTAAATTATTTACTAGAAATATCATTTGTTTAAAAAATAATGACACCAGTAGTTTTCCAATGTTTCAATCTCATAAATCGATTAAGAAGACAAATTAAGGTTACAGACAGAAAACTGAGGGAATTGCATGAACAACGTGAGAAAGAGACTAGGTGCATCGACAGAGGAAGTGTTCTTGCTATGTATGCATCAGCCTCTATGCGATTCCTTACATAGTCAAAACGTGTCAATCGAGAATAGGACACAAACGGTAAAATTACAGAGCAGACGACTATACTGGCAGAGCAGACGACTATACTGGCATGTAAAGATCTAAGACTGCGAAATATGTCGCTAGTGAGTTGAACACAGACGTATCGTATCGGCCATAAATCTTGATGTTTACCGTAAAAACTCATGTAGTTGTATTTCAGTCGTTCGTCTTCATTAAAATCTCGTAGCAGTTTTTGTGTAAGGAGCACACTCCTGCTTATGAAGTCTGTAAAGTGTGAACAAGCACTAACGTACATAGTTTTGTGACGTTTAAATTGATATATTTTAACGTCATACGATCGGGAAGAAAGTATATTACAGTTAAGAAATTGAAACATGACGATAGGAAAGTGCAATCATCACTTTTCTTATAGATTCTAGTTTGAAGTCGTCAGTCTGTATCAAAATAGAAGGAAAAATCAAGACATGATGCATCTGCTAGTTTTGGTTGTTTTCTTGATCTCAAAGTCACTAGGGTTTATGAGACGCAAGCACTTACTGAAGTTTTGTTTTTGGGTGAAAAGAGATCATGAATATATCTAAAAGAGAAATTAATTTCGTACGCACGATGTTTTTTTTACTTTTGTCTATGAAAAGGTTTTGTTTGAGTTTTGCTTCAAACACAAGTAAGCCAGTAGGGGTTCACAATGATTAGCCATTAGAATACCGACTGACTGTTGAAATATAAATCGAATAAACTCTGTTGTCGATCACAAAGTTAATTGATTTGATGATAATATTATCATCATCGGTGACTCAAAGATCTTCTGATAAAACTTTCAAAACATGAATAGCAAAGCAACGCCATAGATTTTAAATGACTTAGGGACACCAAGAATTGACTTAAGGAAAACAAATCATAACGAAAGGAAAGTCTATTAAATCGAAATCAACATGCTATATTGCTTTAGATAAGAAAAAAGTAAAATAACAAAAATAACTTGAATAGCACCTTTAAGATTGCGTTGTGTCCGAAACGCTAGTCTTGATTTACCTTCACTAGGAACGCTAAACATCATAACAATTAGGGCTGAGATAATAAGTATTATTATTCTTCGTAGTAATGATTAAGTTTCTAACGAATCAAATTGCGTACTTATATTAGACCAGGAAGTGTTCTTTGTTCAACTTAACAATGATACAAAACTTTACATTTAACTTCGTAAGGATAAGAACAAAAAATAGATGCGTCAATAATTTAAATCGCTAAACATATTACAGCTCTACAGTGTACAAACATTTTGAAAATGACATTGTAATAAAAAAGTAAATAGTCGTAGCAAACCTTATGTGAGGCAGAGAAGTAAGAATTGCAATATCTTGTTTCTTCTTCTGAAAAACCAATACATATATTCACGTGTTGGTCCAAAGTTAGAAACCTCGTTGATGGTAGTTTCTATATAGTACCCTGTTTAAAAATAAATCATATTTGTTGGCTACTTCCTCATGTTGTTTGTTTGTTTAGCTTGCCATACGATATAAGTGTTGTTCATAACTGCTCGCTGTATGCCGACCTCTACTCTTTTGGCCCATTGAAAGTTATTCAAAATCTAAATATGTCTTCATTTTGAACACGTACATATCATTTGATGTTTTGATCTTTTGACAGAGCAACTTTTAATACTCGATTATGTAATAAAAGAAAAATGTGTCAATGTAACATAGATGGGCTCGCTTATAAATATGCAAGGTCAATGTACTAATGCATACCTATTGACGTTTTGTTTTCTTTGAAACTTTTAACATTTGTTTCTGTGTGTTGTCATTAGAGATTGCTTGGGTGTTTGAGAGCTCTCATTGTTCTATAACAAACAGTAATTGGGTAACCCGAAAAAAGTGTAAGTTACGCCACCCAAATTCAAACTTGATCTGTATTTGGTAGTTATAAGCATTGTGCATAAGTATCAGAACATTTAGTTGTGGCAAAATAAAGTTGGAGTGCGGAACGGCAAATTCGCCAATTTTTCCATTTATAAATGGACATAACTCAAGAACGGCGAAAGTGACGCCACCCAAATTCGAACCTGATCTGTGTTTGGTGGTAATAAGCATTATGCATAAATTACATAATATTTGGTTGAGGCAAACTAAAGAAAGAGAACGGACACAAATTTCGGACGTACGGACAGACAAGGGTAAACCTTAATGCCTACGCTACTCGACGGGGCATAAAAAGTCAACTGTGAAATATGGGTTTTGTTTCTGTCGAATGTAGATTGGCAATTAAAATTTTGAGTCTGTAGTCAAGACACAAATGTTTACAGGATAAAAATTCTCGTCTGTTGTATGATTGAGAAAAAAAGACACACATTTTTTTTTATCTAGCTGATAATAATAAAATTAAAACAGATTTACTTTCTTTAGAGACAAAATGTAAACCTACCTTATATGAAACTCACTCTAGTTAATTCTACTAGAAGTAAAATTCCAGGAAGTATATTACGATCAAAGCTATATTAGGTTTCAATTGTTCAAGTACGTTATTGAAATATCAGTAAATGTTTACATAAAGTATTTAAAAAATGTTTAGCGCATCACTTGTTCTTACTAAAATGGAACTGATATTTATTGAAATTTATAAATACTAGTTCCAGAATATATTTGATATACATAAATGATATACTCATTAACATATTGAAAAAAATATTAGATATAGACAAATATTAATGAAACAAAAGTGCTTATATACATTAATAAGACATCCAATATTTTGTTATAAAGACAAAGAATAAATATGTACATTTGTTTTTAAACCAAGTAATTTGAATACTATTTTAAGTATTTAGCTCACATAAACACCTCTACCATTTTTTTTATTTTTCAACCACAATTGTATGCTGTATAAATACAATGACTGCTACTTCATACATATTTTTTTCAGATGAGAGTCATTTTGGATAATGTTTTAGGTGAAGTGAAGTTGTTAGATTTCAGTTTCATTGACGCTCTTTCAACACTTTTTTTTTTATTTTATCAAGCGCGATGTTTATGAGTTTTCTTATGTACTTTGTAGCTGAAATTATAAAACAGTCATTGTACTTAAAGATGTAGGCAATTCAAACATTTATGATATTTTAGATGTATATACATTTATTTCTAATTGCGATTTAGACACATGCAAACATTCAAAGTGCTATAAATATAAAAACTTTTACTAATAAAAGATATACGAATATGTTATAACATAACTGGTACCAATTTGATTGCACTAGATGCGCATTTCGACAATTATAGTCGACTCAGTGATGCTCGAGGCCGAAATAGTGGAAAATCTAAAACATGTAGAAAAGAAGCGTAAGATACCAGGTGAAGTCAAACTCATAAGTCGAAAACGAACTAACAATGCAATGACAAAACACGATAAACGACCAAAGAACAAACAACAGTCTACAAGACACAACCTAAAAAATAAACGACTTAGCAACACGAACCCCACCAAAAACCGGGGATGATCCAAGGTGCACTGGAACGTCAGGCAAATCCTGCTCCATATGCTGCACCTGTCGTTTTAAAGTACAAACGCGGTGATAAGCCTAATTCGGTAGGTCATATTCGTGGAAAAGAGGACGGGATTGCTATTACGTCTATTTAAACACATCTGTAAAAGTTTCGAAATGACGACTCCAAAATAAAAGCGATAAGGTGCTGATCAAACCATCAATGACCTTAATTATTGCCAAATCTGGAAAAGGACTCGGAGTTTTACATCAGGAAGATACATTCCTTAATTCAAATGATTTCCATAATGAAAACGTTTGAGTAACTCTGTGTAAATAGAAGATGTAGGAGCATTTCACATTCATACACAATGTTTAAGTATCATTTAAATATACCTGATGCAAGGTGTAAGGCATTTTATTCACTAAGGGTGCTATGTTATGTATGCATCATTGTGCAATCCCCGTAGTACTAGCAAACTAACATGTATCTAAACCTTCATGGCCTATGTAGGCACCATCAAGTATTTATTTTACTATAAATATAACATGTATATGCTTCTAAAGAAAATTGCTGTAACACAAACAAGAGGCAGATGTTACCAAGGGGATATTCAAAACTCGTAAATCGAAGAAAACTGACAACCGCATAACAATGAACTACATTTAAAGAAAATTACCCCGCGAATTACCAGGTGTGAACAGGGAGGGAGTTCCTGTCCGCATCCGTCCTGTAACAGGTACAAATACAAATCCGGTCATAAGTCTTGATTAGTGGTGTTATAATCGAGAAAAAGAGGACGGTATTGTGGATACGACAACTGAAACATATCCGTGGTCATCTGTCACGCAGATATGCAGTAATGGTCAACCAACTTGTGGTGGCTTCAATTTTATCAATTGGAACCCTTGGTTTAATAGCTTCTTTGTAAGCAGAAACCCTCTATCAAGGAAATCATAATAGGAAACGCAAGCTCTGGAGTATCGTATCAACTGGGAGATATAAACTCCATATGCAGTCGCTGCTGGAATGTTGCTACATTATTTACCGAAATAGAAAGTTTACAATAATGAAGTTTCAATCATTCCTTTTGCTGTAAAGTTTTGTTCTCAACCAACCCCCAATGTCAATTACTGGGTGGATACCTCTGCTGGTGGACTGTTAGTACCCGAGGGTATCATTAGCCTATAAGAAAATTGATATTGTGTTATTAAAATTAGCTATTTAAAAATTTAGAAACTAATTTAAATTAAAGAAAATATCTCCCTCATTTCTTGACCTGCTTTGGCTATACGCTTTTTACTGATAACCTCTGAATTAGTTTAATAAGCTTTGGCTTCGAGTATCATTGAAGAGACATATATTGTCAAAATGCACATTTGTTGTTGTAAAATTGGTACCGTTAATGTTATTCGAGATGTGAGTCAAGACATGAGGCAGAGTTAGCTGTATCTGTGGTACTCTTGTTTTTTATTATAAGATCAAATCATTCATGGGACTACATACCATAAGCCCATCGAAACTTTGATGTTCTTTAATAAGCCTTTTCCTTTTGCAGACTGATATTTACATCCACCTCTAATCCTGTATTGTCCATGTAAGTACATTAACGGTAAATGAAATAAATTTAATCAAGAAATTCAATTTAAAAAGCGAGTAAAGAAACAAATAAGGAAATCATGACTAACGGTTAAACTTATAGAATGATTTCTGACTTAGAAAGAGCAATCCCAAAACAATATGTTCGTGTTCTGAAAAGAGACAAAAGGTATCAAGGGGACATGCAAAACTCGTGTCAGTAGACGAGAAATTGAGAATGCCATGAAAAAAAACGACAAACAAGTTCTAAAAAAATATAGGTTTATGTTATCATTTCCAACAGAAATGTTAATGCAACGAAACATAACTTAAACGACTTAGGAATACTGGCGACCTTGGTGACAGAATCAAGAAAACTTAGAGCGAATCAAAACAAAATTAATGGTTTATCGAGTATAAGTCTAAATTAACTTGACATAATTTTACATTGTTTAGTATAATGCCCTCTAATTATGAATAAGTTATCCAACGAATCAAAAGACGTATTGGTGTCAGACCAGGAAGTTTCCATTAGACAATTTTATTATGTAACAATAATTAAACATCTAAGTATTAGATACCTTTTGCAATTCAATTCAACATAAAGGTTCGGTTCAAGTTATTACATTACAGTCCTACAGTGTTGATAATCATTAAATATGTTTAATTGTTCGTATCACATGCTTGGTAATATTCATTTCAATTTAAAACCAAACAAGAATTTTGAAAGAAAAGTTTCACCTAACTATTGCAATTATCTGTACCATTGATGATCAAAACGTGACTTGCCGTTTTCGAATAAAGCTCATATGGACTGAATATGAAAGCACAACCATTTGTCATTATTTTTATTTAAGTCTAATTTAAGCAACTTTTTTTTTATGAATAAAATTGATTGCATTCTCTACATGTTTTCCCCTATCAGAACTGCCAAATGTCTGACGTCTTAACCTGTTTTTTACAATTGAGATGAGATAACAATTTTCAAACAGTAGCATTGAAGTGCCAATGTCTAAGGAAATATTTTAATATCTAATTTAGAACTCTGTCTTTAAATAAACCATTAACTGAACATCTTTCCTCAAACTAAATCTTTACTTTTATATCAAAAGACAAACAGTATACAAAACAGAACATAGAAAACTAAAGACTGAGCAACACGAACAGTACCAAAGAAAACAGGACGGGGGAGGAGGGGGAGGGTATCTCATCTGCCCAGGAAATAGACAGGGTCGTCAAGTTGGTTACTTATTCCTTATTCCTTATTCGTTACCTATTCGTTACTTATTCCTTACGTTTTCCTTATTCCTTACCTAATCGTTACTTATTCCTTATTCCTTATTCGTTACCTATCCGTTACCTATTCGTTACTTATTCCTTATTCCTTACCTAATCGTTACTTATTCCTTATTCCTTATTCGTTACCTTACGTTAGCTATTCTTTATTGCTTTTCGTTACCTATTCGTAACTTGTTCCTTATTCCTTATTCGTTCCTTATTTGCTTTTTGATATGCTGCCCCTGTTAATTCTTCCTTCTTTTGATTCTGGTGTAAGATATTGGTTCGAGGAGGTAAGATTACCCTGGTAGCGCGTATGTCCCCGCTTCAGCACTCAAAACTGATACCCTGTTTCTTATTTGCTTTAAATATGTTGCTCCCTTTTAATGATTTTTTTTTCGTTTCTTTTTTGGCTGTGGTGTTAATTATTGGTTCGTAGACGTGAAATAACCATATACGCACGTATGTACATGTTTCCGCGCTCGACTGATAACCTGTTACTTATTTGCTACTTAATCGTTCCTTATTCTCGTTTTATACATCACACCGTTCTAATGCTTTCTTTACTTTTATTGTCTTGTCTCTGGTGTTAACTATGGGTTCGTAGAGGTGGAAAAAAAACATATTAGCGCGTATGTTCCCGTTTCAGCGCTCGATTGATATTTGTTACTTATTCGATACTTATTCGTTCCTTATTCGCCTTTTATACGTTGCACCTTTTTTATGCTTTCTTTTCTTTTCTGTTCGTGTCCCTGGTGTCAGCTCTGGGTTCGTAGAGGTGAAATAACCCTATAAGCGCGTATATACCTGTTTCTGCGCTCGACTGCTACCCCGTTACTTATTCGTTCCTTGTTCGCTTTTAATATGTTGCCCCCTTTTAATGCTTTCTTTTCTTCTCTTTTTTCACTCTGGTGTAAAATATTTGTACGAGGAGGTAAAAGAGCACTGTTAGCGTGCATGTTCCCGCTTCCGGATTCGACTGATACCCTGTTACTTATTCGCTACTTGTTCTTCTTTATTCGCTTTTTATACGTTGAACCTTTTGAATGCGTTATTTTCGTTTACTTTCTTGTCTCTGGTGTTCGTTCTGAATTCTTAGAGATAAAATAACCCTATTGGCGCGTATGCCACACAACCAGGTTCAACCCACCATTTTTTTCTTAAAATGTCCTGTACCAAGTCAGGAAAATTG